AGAGGCTTCACAGAGTGGTAGGCCCACTTGCTGTTCCGCTTTCTGCCATGTGAGGACACAGCCTTCCTTCCCTCTGGAGGATGCTGCCTTCACCAGGTAGTTGAACCTGCCAGTGCCTTCATCTTTGACTTTCCAGTCTCCAGAACTATGAGAAAATAAATGTCTATTCTTTATAAATCACCCAGTTTCAGGTATTTTGTTACAGCAGCACAAAACTGAGACCAGTAAGACACTGGGTCTGACTGTCTGCGATCTGGCTTTGTCAGTGCCCAGTAAGAAGCTGATAAGACCTTATCTCTGGTCACCAATCTTCTCAAAATCTCCCCTCTAGCTATATTTTTAAAACTTTTTGGACTTAGAGAAGGTTAGTCTCTCTTTTCCATCAAGCCTTCTCTATTCTCCACATGGTTTACAGTTTTCCATTCAGACTTCATTTCTTCCCAAAATTCCTTTCCAGAAAGCATTCCCTGGCCCTCTGTAAGCTAGCTGGGTATCCCTATTGCACACTCCCATGACACCCAGGACTTTTTCTCTATCACTGCACTTACCACTCTATTATTGCTCCACTAGACTGATTTTCTCAACCTGAGTTCCCAGGAGAATTAAGCCCCCATACACCAAGGCATCCACTACATGTAATAAATAATGACTACATGGCCGGGCGCAGTGGCTCACATCTGTAATCCCAGCACCTTGAGAGGCCAAGGCAGGTGGATCACGAGGTCAGGAGTCAAGACCAGCCTGAACAGCATGGTGAAACCCTGTCTCTACTAACAACAACAACAAAAAAAAAATACAAAAATTAGTCGGGTGCGGTGGCACATGCCTATAATCCCAGCTACTCAGGAGGCTGAGGCAGGAGAATCGCTTGAAGCCAGGAGGCGGAAGTTGCAGTGAGCTGAGATCGCGCCACTGCACTCCAGCCTGGGTGACAGAGTGAGACTGTCTCAAAAAAAATAATAATAATAATAAATTATGGCTCTACTTTCCATCTGGAATGGCGCTACTTAAGTACCATCATTGGGAGAACTGAGCAAGCAGTCATTTTCTATGTTCCATGGTTTAGATGCAATCAGGACCCTATTTTATGCCTTACTGTATTCCTGAGATATAGGACTATACCTGCCTCATAATAGGCACTCAGTCTAAGTCTGAAGGAGGCACTGCATAAGTGGATGAGGCCCCTTCCTTGCTGACAGCCTCCATTCTAAACCAGCGGCCCGCAACTTTTTGGCACCAGGGACCGGTTTCATGGAAGACAATTTTTCCACAAACCAGGGGCATGGTTTTGGGATGATTCACACACATTTCATTTATTGTACACTTTATTTCTATTATTATTACATTGTAATACATAATGAAATAATTATACAACTCGCCATAATGTAGAATCAGTGGGAGCCCTGAGCTTGTTTTCCTGCAACTAGACAGTTCCATCTGGGGGTGACAGGAGACAGTGACAGGTCATCAAGCATTTGATTCTCAAAAGGAACACACAACCTAGATCCCTCATATGCGAAGTTCACAATAGGGTTAGCGCTCCTGTGAGAATCTAATGCCGCTGCTGATCTAACAGGAGGCGGAGCTCAGGGAGTGATGTGAGCATTGGGGAGTGACTGTAAACATAGACGAAATACTA